AAAAACAGTTCTATGGTGATCTTCAAAATATTTTCATTCACTCAGACTGACACATTCACAAGTGACAATGCAGAATCTTGTATTTTCCTGCTTCAGTACACTGTTTTAAACTGCGCAGACAAGCTGCAGATCTTATTCAGAGAACACTGCCCCTTGGTTAGCAGAGAGGAAACGATGTCACACATGTTGACCGAGGTTATTAGTAAGATCAGAGCCGACCCTGACTTACCTGTTGCCCTAAGCAAAATTCTATTAAAGGACATGCTCCCACCTGACCTGTGAGCCACGCAAACCATTTGCCACCGCAACACAGTCACACCTGACACCCCAGTCCCCCACGACAATCCTCCCCCCTTCAGGACAGTTTGCTCCATCTGTTGGCCTGACAATGCCTGCAGAACTCAATAAGGTACATACAAACAATATTTATTAAACTGATTTTCATATAGAAAATTCCAATATAACATTAACTTAACTAAGACATTAATGACAATATAAATTGCAGAACATATAATCATTTCAATGAATCACTGAGCTTTTCCTCAAGGTTTATACCTCAATATATCAAAATAAAAGCACAGATGTAGATGAGCTGTGTGATTAGCTCTGGCTATAAAATATTAGAACTGATCTCATATCAGTGGAGCCTGAGGCTGTAGTTCTAGTCACTCATCTGTCAGATATTGCTCGTTTGATTCACAAAACAAATGTGCAATTAAAAATAATTGATTAATAAATGAATGAATAATCATGGCTCCTGTCCTCTTGACACCTCCCACCTTTGTCAACAGGACAAAACGTCATGTATACAAAAATTAGAGAAGTAAAGAAACGGCTCGAGTCAAGCTTCCCATGACAATAGCCGACTTAGCACAAGAGGGCATTAGATAACAAAGTGAAAGAAAACAGTCAGATAATGTAGGTACTTCACACTGTCCTGAGATACCACAGGCCATGTAAACAACAAAGCCCAGTACGCTGTGCTTCTACTTTTAATGTTAAGTGCACAATACAGCCACTCCACCCCGGCTCTCTTCTCCTAATCTTCCCATAGATTTGATTGATTGATATAGTTGTGTTTTCACCACCATATCATTTGGACTATTTCTGCATACATGTTATTGTATCAATATCATTGAGAACCATCAAATGTTATAATATATATCATTATATTATACACATTGAGTTCATATGATAAAACTTGTATTTTCTTTATTTTCCTGTGCATACATGTGTGCACTCCCCAACTTTTCAAACTTGCTTTTAAACTTTTTATTGAATTTTTCTGACCCTTCAAACCCAACAGCCATAAATGTATTATTCATATTCTGAGAGACAACAATGTACGGTACAAGGTATACTACACAATCATGTATTTTGTGCTTATAGTAGATTACAACATATTGTTGTACTTCTGCCCCGTTTCTGGTCTTCTCACATTTACAGACACAGTGATAGTTTATATATATCTACATATTATTACAAAGGAATCATATCAGGCCTGATGTTAAATAAACACCCAGGGAGAGCATCCGTTTCCTCTTTGGGCAACCTTTTGATTCCATTTTCTAATTAATTACTGGCTGTAACACCTTGGCTGTGCCGACATGAAGACTGACGTGTCCCCAAGCCCCCAGTCACATCCACCAGCCCCGGCGGCAGGGGAGCTGTGTTTTTAATCACCTGGCCACTGGCATTATCAAGCTGGAGGAGCCATCACCCGCTCTGCACACAGATGCTTGTTCATTCATCTCTGCCGGAGGTCAGCGTGGCTGAGAAAGTGGTGCCTGCTGTGTCCTCAAACTGCCGTGCTTCATCCCTCCACATTTAGAGCCTCTTAAAGGCACCACATGTTGCATTTTACCCTCAATGAATCATTACCACATTAGTTCTGTGGCATTTGTCTAATTTGTGGAGACAGATGACGATTGCGCAACAGCCTCTCCACCTCATTCTGCTCCTATGCAGGTTTGGCAGGAAATCCCCTGGCCCGTTTCATAGCTGCCTGAATGGGCCTGCTGCACGGAATATAAGAAAGTGTTTAGCACATAATACACATCATTACTCCGGCATCAGTCTTTAGAGCAGTTTGAAAATCACTTCAAGTCACCTTTTGGATGTTAAGAGACAGAGACTACGGAGCGTCTCACTCGGACATTTGCGTTCACACATGCACCTCCTGTGGAGAAAATACAGAGGAACCGCGGCGTGCAGTGCAGCCGAAAGCAGCTTTACAAACAAGATGAATGAGATCAGGATGAGAATTATGATACATTACCCCATCGCTATGCATCCTGCAAACAGTGTGTTGTTGAGTGGTTTGATATTCCAGCCAATTTACTGCCCTGATACACTGAGTGACTGGTCTTGTCTCACGTGGGATGTTCCATTTGCACACAATAAGATGAAGGGGGAAGTATGGATTTCTCATACCTGTATAAATGAATTGAATACCCAAGTCTTATGCTAAATCATTTCTAATATTGTTTGAAGAATATGTTGAGTATTTTGATACTTGAACCCACCGTGTCATGCTTATTCTGAATCAGTCCAGAGAACAAATGATTATTTGTTCAAGGTTCCACCATTGAGGACCACGATTTGTTCAAAATAACATTGTTTTGTTGCCAATAACTGAGTGTTAGAGAATGAGATCTTTTTGGTCTTTAGGTTTTCAGGAATAAACTGAAAATCCACTTCAACACACACTGACATGGCCATGTCTATCAAATAAAGAGAAAAAGAGAGAAAACGTTTTAAAAATATAAAAAAAAAAATACTTATTTTTCTATCCGAGAGTCATCTTACTTTCTAAACAGTTGGTGCATGTTTGATCATATGGCAATTTTCAGGTTACATGCACAAAAAGAGACTTGGTGAAGCTCTGCGCTTGGTGAATGCACAGCTGACTTGTATAGTTTCCACACAGCATAGAAAAAGTGAAGTGTTGCAGAGGGGGCTCTATAACTAAAAGAACTGTGTGCCACATCATGTGCAATTTGCTAAATTATTGAACATCCGTTAAGTTTGTCAACAGTATTTTACCACTTTAAAAGAAACACAGCAACACTTTGTATCCACTAGTTGGAAACTTTCTATTGACTTTTGACATAGAATCGGTTGAGAATTTGCATAAAAGGCAACAACAGTGCCTAAACTTTAAAAATGAATGTTCGATTACTTGCCTGTTTTGTTGTAGACACTTAAATATCCAGGGGGTCTGCAGGAAGGGAAAGCAAAATCCTGTTACTTTGAGAGAAACTTAACACCCCCTAAAAATCTTTATTTTGCTGACCTCCAGTGCCGTTACCTCCCACCTTGCTGCAATGATGAGGAAACCCACTCCAGCATACTGACATCACTGCCGAGTGTGGTTATTGGTCCAGGTCAGTGATGACAGGGAAGGCAGTGAAACACTACATTTCACCTGGTGTATATTTTTCTTCTAAAAAATGTATTCTCAAAGATGACATCAATTTATTGCCCAAAGTGAATTTTCATCATTTAACTTAGCATCTAAGTTTTGATGTCTCATGAAAATAAATAATGTCCTGGGTTTGAACATTTCAAGGCTTTGAATTTACTTTTTGCCCCAATGTCTGATCAAGATCAGCCTTCAACTAATATATGAATGAATATGACATATCTGCTTCAACTTAAAAAGGTCCCAATTAAAATAACCTGCATACTTGGTACATTGTGGGAGAATGTGCACCATACATTTCAATCAGGAGACACTTCGTTGAAAGTTTCAAACATTTTTTTGCAATGCACACCTAGAGGGGAACTAAATGTGATATAATTGAGTGTCTTAGACCCCATCATGAAGTTATCATGATTGGAGTGGGTGAGGTTATGTAGAGGAAACTTCCCTGGAGTCTGGACACTGGCGGTGGTGATTGTGAGGGGATGAAGAGAATCCTGAAGATGAGAATGTAATGAGGAGTAGATGTGGATATGATGACTGGAGGTGAATGTGGTGAAGGGGGTTCACAGCAAATCACCAAAATGACAACTGGGAGCGAAAGAGAGGAGAACAGATTTAAAGTTTGACAGTAGCGCCATGATTGGCTGATTGAGATCGTGGCTAAACCTACACCCACAGCCAGAGAGTGAGAGAGAGAGATGTAAATAAATGAGCCTAAACACAACATAACACCGAGCTTCATTACATGACTTTATAGATATTATTTCTAAAACCATGTTCCTGTGTCCGATGAGGAAGTTCTGATTATTGGAATAAGAAAATAAAGTCAGCCGGCATTAATGGGGTGTATTATTAATTGGCTCATCTCAGCATTGGTCCTTGGAATTATTTGGAATAAATGTTGCGTGTTATTATCCTTCCCATGCTACATTTTGTCATCAGTCGCATTGATATTATCCAGTTTTGTGAATGCCTGAAGAGAAATGGAGCAAACACCACCAGTAAAGGGAGACTGCGTACTTGATCTAATTTGACCAACAATAGAATTGCAGAGGCGCTAATAGTTCAACTGAATCACATCAGTAGGTTAGTGTTGAATACTGGTTCCATGTCAACAGCAAGTTTTTGTGTGGTATTTGGAAAGTGACCTAAATGAAACAGTTGACCAAGATACTTTTCTGACCCTTGATTTGAGGCTACACTGACAGTGTGCATTTAATCAAGAACACACACACACACACACACACACACACACACACACACACACACACACAGATCTAAGCGCTCCACTCAGACAAATGAAATCATGTCTTACTCCAAACCAGTCTGATGCTTGTCTAATGAGCAGTTTGGCAAAGATGCATGAGGAAGGATATAATCAATCATGTATAACACCACAGTGAGCCAGAGAATTGCCAAATTTGTCAGCTAATTTCATACTAATTGAGTCCCCAGCCCGGGGGGTCATTTTTAACCTCATCACTGTTCTGATCACGTGGAATGGTGAGCCCCTTGCCCGTGTGTCATTAATTAAGATATAAAGCATCAATCATCATTCTCTGTCTCCCCTCAGTACCCGCCAGGATCACCAACATATCAAAGGACGTCACAGTGAACGAGGGCAGCGACGTTAATCTCATGTGTCTGGCGGTGGGTCGACCCGAGGCCAACATCATATGGAAGCACCATTCACCAAGAGGTAAGCCACAAAGGTTTATTATTTTATTTTATTTACTTTTATTACATTGGACTTTTACGTCAAAACCCTGTATTCTGGTGCCTCATCCACAGGTACGGTCAGTGGAAACAGGATTGTTGGGTTAATGAAGAACAATCTTTAGTTCCTGTTTGGAGCCACAGATGTGCCAAGTTAATAAGCCCAGTATGGATTTGTGAGGAGTCATGGCAAAGTTGTAGATTCATAGGTTAGAGCAGTGTAAATTCTAAGATTTAAACAACAATTCTTAACAGATTACCGTGCATTGATTGCCGAAGGTAATTCACCAAACACATGTGCCAGGGTAAACTGCAGGATTCCTTTATTGTAAAGGTGACTGGACCCCTACGCCTACACATGTGGCAACACTTGAATATGAATATTCGCCTACGTGCGCAATAGTTATTTACCTCTGGCAGAGTATGAATCTGTAGCTTTTGTGGTAACATTAGCTGATTATCACTGACTATAGTCAGACTTTAATCTCTTGACTATGAGGCGTTGTTTTCTTTTAAACTTGGAGAATTCAGGGATTGAAGCTTCACAATCTGTGGCCTGACAGGACCCAGCTCTAAACCACCATGATGTTGGGTAGGGGCCACAGCTGGTTTTGGTCGGTTCTGTGTTGTCGGAGCCGCGCAGTCTGAAGGAGAGCCAAGAAGCTCTGCTCGCTTCTATGTGTGTGCGTGCATGTGTGTTCTGTTTCTAATTGTGTCGGCTCTGCGCTTCCCACGGAGCATTCAGCAGTGTGAGTCATGCGCTGCTTCTCTATAGAATCAGATGTTCAGTCTCCAACATGACATGAATGCTCACAGCACAGCTGTTCCTCCCTCTCTCGACATTATCCAGAACCAGCCATGCACCACCTCAGCCAGCTCTCCGTCAGTTGGTTCCTCAATATTTACCAGTCAAAGCCATTCCTTTGAAGTGCATGGCAATTACATTCCAAACGGACAACTTTAATGACCACTGACCAGATGGTACCATTTACAGTCTGTAACATCCTTCTGGGGTCTCCACCCACTTTTATGATTTTTACATACATAGAATATGGCACTTCTTTGGCCTTCGGCGATATTTTCACCTTTCTGTGTAATACAAACTGTAGCAGAGACATGTCCATGTCGCAGTTAGCACTGTGACGATACCAGCTTTTGAATCGCAGTACAAAATGATGATATTCTTTTGTTCAGTGCAACCTCATCTTCACTCAGAATATGTTCACAAAGTCACAAAATAAGAAAGGGAGAAGTGAAACCTGAGGACAGACATACTGAACATAAAAGAAGCGGAATAAAAATACTGAATAATTTTACTGAAGACAGTCAACATGGTTTTTTTTTTCTGTTTCACTGGAAGGAATATCATAGAGGATATGCCAATATGTTACGATGTGGATTGAAACTCCCCCAGCAGTAGAAATATGGAGTCATTATTGTAGCAAAACTATTGACAAATGTGAGTCTCAATTTGTCTGTGTGTAATCAGATTTGTGAACGTGTAAAATAATCTCCAAATATGTATGAGATTTAGGAATGTGGAATCTGGTTCTGCAAATCTGCATTTAGAATATAAGTGTGTGTGTATTCAGCTTTGAAAGTGTAATGATATCTGTAAATGTGTAGACAAATCTGTGTAAGCATACGTGCGCATTATAACAGATTGCACGCTAGGTTGGTGGGCGTTTTGTGGGTGATCTACTAAAAATAATTGCGCAAATGATAACAGGTGCAAACGTGGTAGAGGCAGTCGTATTTAAATGTGTTCTGAGTGCGTTTATCAGGCTTTGTAAATCACATTGCGTGTGCTAAAATAAAGTATTGACATCCACTCCTCCCAATATGTTGCGCCCACGGGTAGAAATGCCCGATATTGCATATTCATTAAGGCAAACGTACTAAATGGACAGCGCTTGCTATTCTGCACGCAATCCTCAGTGTGCACCGTTAGTAAATCAGCCTGCATGTTATTTTGTGAGTGAAATCAAGTTGCACACGTTTTCACACGCGCAAACCTTTAGTAGATCAGGCCCTTAGTATTTTTTTTTCAAGACCAGACAAATATGTGTTGAGAAGGGAAATTTTAAATTCAGAGATTTTTGAATGGAGTTTGGTGGGACCCTGCTACAGCCACTACAAACTGCTACCGCCACCTAGTGGTATGAAGGCTGCAGCCACTGAAAACACAGACATGTCGCTACATTAATAATTTGCACATTTGCGATCAGCCACAGCAGAAGTGTGATAAAACTCACACAATCGAGAGGCCGTCTGAGCAGAAACTGATGACTTTTGTATTTTCAGCTCTCGAAACGAAATACTTAGGGCCTCTCAGCCAATCATCTCCATGTATGCGTTAACAGATTTGTCTACACATTTACAGATATAAATACACTTTCAGATCTGAAGATGTTTTCTTTACACATTCACAAAACTGATTACACACAGATTGAGGCTTACATTTATCAATAGCTTTGCCACAATATTGTCCCCATATAGAAACCCCACCTTCAGGAGCAAGAATAGTGACAAATGAAGCAATTGAATCACACTTCAAGTGTAATATACAGACATCCACAGCCAGAGAGCTGTGTGTGTGTGTGTGTGTGTGTGTGTGTGTGTGTGTGTGTGTATTATCAACAGGAAAAGATAATGGGTTATCTTACTTGACATTTCTCTGAGTTGCACTAATGAAAAGGCAAGATGTTTGGGCGGCCAAAGAAATTCTCACAGGCAGTCAGAATCTTAAATGTTTTTCCCAACGAGTGGCATTTCCCTGACTAGCTCCTCACCGTTTGCTTTTCATGTCTGTCACCAGCGATAATGGACCGTTCCCTCAGAGGATAGTGTTTGTGTCTGTTAGTACAGGAACTGAAGTGAGCAGCCTTCTCCCTGAGTTAAACCACATTTTCTAAGAGATTTCAAATCTGCAGTGCAGCCTGCCTTGCCATTTGATACTTGCTTTTTTTTTTTTTTTTGGTGCACCATTTAAACTTTCAACACTCACTTGGTGTCAGGAACATGAGCAAATCCACTGTTATGGCTGATGATGCAGGAAGGGACCTCACTGTTCGTTATGAGAAGTGACAAGTGACATGAGGCAACATGGAAGGAATATGGAAATACTGGAACAATGTAAGGTTCCACCGCCTTAATTTGAGGCTGAATTTAATTAACAAAATGTAAACTCAGTCGCTGTCGGATTCCCTGTCACTGTTTAATATGAATTCTAATACCGTCTCACGGTTGAATGATGGGAGGTGCTGAAGCCTCCACAGTGTATGCCGATAAATCGTCCGACAGGGATGGTGACATCAGTAAGAGCTGTGTAGAGTAGCAGCCTGTAAATGAACGGCCTCTGTGGTCGTTTACTTAATATATGTACCCTGTCAATTCAAGTCTCACCTTTATTTTGTGCACTGCAAGACTCAGTCCCCATTTCAACTCTGTGGTGACTACATCAATTATTCAACAGTGTCCACTGAACCCCCTGGCTGCTGGCCACTAAAAGGACCGGAAGATATATTGTTGGAGAAAACAGTTTATTCAGTGGACAATGCAATATGGATCCTTCGACCCATTAAGACTCATTAAAGTGGATAGGTTGTGAATGTACACTCTCACACATGTCACTTTGTTCCTTTTCACATTACTGCAGACTGAACCGTGGCTGTAATGCATGCTCTCCTTCAATGCTGCTGTGACTGAGCTGCTGTTATTGGCTCTGGCTGTCACTTACAGTGAGAAGTTGCCACAGAAGTACCTTCTCATACAGTATGTAGTGATACGACACAAACAACAAACACACACACATGGTGTCGTGTTAAAGGAATACACCCTCATCTTTCAACTCTTTTCTACATATGCTGTTTGTATATTCTGTCCTTTCCACACATTTATTTACAGAATTCTACCAGGATCACATTTGTTTTATCTATGTGCCTATATATTTTCTTCTAAGCCACACTGGCACCATTTGATTAGGGATAACGGTGTCCGTCAGTTGGACGACAAATTGCAAGTCGCTTCTAGCTGCCTTCAAATGGGGTCGTGTCTACTGTCTTACATGAATAGTCCATATGAAAACCCTTGTTGTATTCTCGTCTTTGTAGCTGGTATTTTCTGAAAGCTCAGAGATGCTGACATTTTCACAGGTTTCACTTGTTTGTCTGTTGGTTAGTTGGTCTGTTTGTCAGGAGGGTTATGGAAAAAACTACTGGAAGGATTTCCATAAGGCTTGGTGAAAGATGGGACGTTCAACAAGAAAGAACTAATTACTTACTATTTTTGCCCTGGGTTCGGACAAGTGCCTGTTTGTCATCAGGATTACTTCCACTTTCTTACACATAGGGCATTTTTTTTTACTTAAACCTATTACTTATTATAATGTAGAATTCTTTGGCCATTTGAAGACTGCAGACATTTGTAAGTGGTTGACATTGTAAATGTTTTTATTTATTTATTTGCAAATACAAAATTACAGAACCTCAAAGGGGGTATTTTTTAAATATCATTAGTTAATGATCTTTTGCTCATAAGAAAAAAAAAATGCCTTTAGGCACTTTAGGGGCCAAGTACGCAAACAACTGAAATGATATGAGAGGAGAGAAAGTTAGGATAAACACACTTGCAAGTGCACACACACACAGTAAAAATGCATGGCAAGATAAATTATTCAAAGAAATCAATATTTAATTATTTCTTAGGAAACCACTGATCATTTCCAGTAGAGCAACATTATCATTCTTGTGGAGTTGTTTAGGGTCCGCCTGATGAATCTTACTCCAATATATTTTGCTCTGGTTTTGGTAACTACCAACTCCTGAGAGAAATTTCAGGCTTATAAGCTGCTAAATGCTCCACTGTGTTCACAAGCTGGTCTCTAACTGTTTGTGGCTGAGGAGGTTGTGGACAGTGCTGACGAAAAACTCCAACTAAATGTTTTGTGGAAAAAATGTTTACTGACACACATTTAATTTGCTG